GCGCCAGCACCGAGTCATACATCTTGCACTGCATGTGCCCCGTGCTCTGCACCACGCACGACATCCAGAGCCCCTTCCAGGTGGTCTGCGCCGTCACGATGTTGTGGTCCAGGAAAGCGGTCACCTGCCACATGGGCAGCCCGCACGCCAGGATCAGGCCCACCCAGCCCATCAGGCACAGCACCAGGCCGAGGATCTCCAGCGCCGCCGACCCCATGGCTGGAGCAGAAACGGCGCCCTGCGTGGATTCTGGTGCCCTTGCGCCCGCGCTGCCGGCTCACTGACCTCTCAGCTTGCTCCACTGGCCTGAACACAGACTTCGCGTCTGCCGGCACCTCCCGGGGTCCCTCCCCTTTGAAAGTTCGGGGGGCGGACTCGGGTCCGGCCTCCTGGCCCGAGCAGCCAATCCGCGCTGAAGCTGTCGGCCCGCAGCCAATCATGACGCCCCCCAGTAGCCGGCAGGTAGTAAAATTACCGCGAGTGAGGATAGCGGAGAGCCCGGGGACCGCTCCCCGCACGGCCTCCACCCCCCCAGCCACCACTGCTGTCGGTTGTCTAATTGTGGCCGAGCACTTTCTGGATTGGCCTGGGGCGGCTGCCAGCGCGCTCCTCCTCGGCCACCTCCTTGCATGTCCCCGCCTCGCCATTTTAGGAGCTACATGATCCCCAACTTCCCCCGCCACTTCCCGGAAAGAGCCCTGATGGTCCCCACCCCCAGGCCAGCTCCACTCTTCTCTGGCCAAGGTCTGAGGGAGTCCCCACCATCACCACCGCGTAGAGGCCTGCGTGTGGGACTCTCGTGGTTTCTTCCCCAAGCTCGCCCTGGAGCCTAAGCGGATCCAGACCCTTCACCGCATCCTTACTGCTTGGTGCCCCTCTGAGTCTTGGCGCAGTCTCTCCCACAGGCGGAGAGGCCAGGCAGAATTGTGCGAGTCAGGCTGGCCTCCTGCCTCGTCCAAGGTCCTTCCCAGCACCACTGCCCACCCAATCACTGCCTCCCTGGGGCCTGAGGCCCCAGCACGAAGCAGGAGGCACAGACGGTCTCTCGGGAAACCCCTCCTCCCAGTCTGCTGCCGCCCTGGAGACTTTCCAGACCTCCCAACCTTCAGACTGCTCCTCTTCCTAAGATGCTGCCCATCCCCCATCGTGGGAGGCCCAGCTCAAGCGACACCCCTTCAGAAAGTCTCCAGTGTTCCCCAATGACCCAGCATACAGGCTGTACTGCGGTGGCCCAGCTCCAAGGCCTACTCTGGCCTCAGACAGGAGAGACATAAAGGGACATAGGGGCTGTGCTCTGCCCTCCCACCAGTGGTAACTCTGATACCCCAGCCCCCAGACCAACCTCCGGAAGCCAACTTGGAGTTTCCTGGCCAGGAGGAAGAGCCTCCATCCTCACTAGAGGAGGGAGGTTCGGGATTTCCGGGCATTCTTCTGCACAATGGCCCAGCAGTTTCTCGAAAGGCCTACCAGGATGAACACAGGAGCCCCACAGGTGGGGCACCAGGCCCTGCAGCCCACAACCCATGGGGGCACCAGCCCTTTCTGGCAACCCCCTCCTCACTCTCTGTCAGCCCCCTTGTTTCCAGTAAAGTCTACTCTGTCCTGGACTGGGGCCCCTGGTATGCCTGTGCTTTCCTATGGTCTGAGGTCCTTGCCTCTGCTAGCCAGGGCCCTCCACAGAGAAGACCTGGTATTCTGAGGTCAACCACAGCCTGGGAGCTTTGACAAAGCTGTCGATCCGGGTGCTGGTTCCTGCTCCTTCCTCAGGTGGCTCTGAGGTAAGGCCAATACCCTGTTCCTCCAGCACGGGGAGGAAGGCACATTTGCTGGGCCCTGCGGGCAGGGGTGGGATGTGGAGGGAAGTTTTACCCCCTTCCTTACCCCTACCTTACCTCCCAGCACCAAGAACCACAGCCTCTTCCCAGCCACCACCTCACTGGCTGCTACCCTCCTGCTGCAAACTATCTCCTCCCCCCCTCCCCCAATACCCTGCAGACCCTCCTGGACATCCCCTCTGCCATCCACTCCAGGAGGCCCAGCTATACCACTCACCCCACCCTCTCAGTCCTGCTTCCCCAAGTCCAGGGCCTTTGCCCAAGGCCCCCCTCTACATCCACACTGCCTTCTTCCCAGGACGCCCTTTGCAGCCTCAGACTGTCTGGGCCCCACCCTTGCCCACTGGGCTGTTCTCAGGGTAGCTGGGCCATCCCAGTAGTCCCCTCCCTGACTCACACTGCCTAAAATCCTCCATGGCTTTCTTCACCGCCCAAGGACCAAGTGCTGATCACTGGGAGTGGCCTAGGGTGACGTGTGCCTGGCTGTGTTGGTCTAGTAGCACACACTCCATGCTCCGCCCAGACTGCCCAAGGACCAAGTGCTGATTACTGGGAGTGGCCTAGGGTGACGTGTGCCTGGCTGCGTTGGGCCGGTTGGTCTAGTAGCACACACTCCATGCTCCGCCCAGACGTGCCTCCCTCTGGGCCCTCGGGCTGGTCTGTCTCCCGTCCACAGCCTTTTCTGCCTTCAGTGCTTGTCCCTTGGCTTGGGGCCTGCTCATCTTCTACATTGTGTTGCTGAGGCCACTTCCACTCAGAGGCCTTTCTGCCTCGTCCCCTAGCCTTGCTCCCAGAGGTCCAAGCTGGAACTGTCCATCTGCTTGTTGGTTTTCCCCACCAGTATTCAGGAACGAATCTCAACACAGTGGCCATCTTCATGCATCTGTACCAGGTAGGGGCCTGTCTGCTGCTCCTTCAGCCAGCTTGGGGTGCAGCTGCATGAGGCTCTCCCCTTCACCTGCCCACCTGCCTCCCTCCATCTACCACTTTGGGGCCCATCCTTGGGCCCACCTCCAGCCTGGAAGCCCATGGTGCCCCCAGCAATCTCACGACTCTTTGGGACAGCCCCACAGTACCTTGGGGATCACAGTATCTTGGGGATCACAGTATCTTGGGACTGACAGGTTCCACCTATTACAATCTGATTTCTACCTCAACACCACAGTGGAACCAGAGCCACCACAGACAGGCCAGCTCATACCAAGGGCAGGATGGAGGAGGGGTTAGGGAGGGGAGGCATGAGGACAGCCCACCCTTCCTTCCACTCAGGGGGATCTCCTGACCTATTGCACGCTGAGCACATTCTTTAGTGGAGCACAACCCAGGGAGCTCCCACCCTCAACCAGCAACTGGGTAAGGCCTTTCAGGTGTGCCTGTTGCCTGGGGAAAGAGACAGCCATGTGATGCAGTGATGGCCTCTCTGAGGAGCTAAGATCTGGGAAGAAGTTCTAGCAAGAGCACAGAGGTAGGAAGGGGTGGAACCCCAAGAGGGAGCTTGCTCAGGCCAGATGGAAGGGGGAGGGCCTGGAAGCCCAGTTCAGAGAGGGTGCAGGGCTGGGCAGGGACGTCAATCCCTGATCTGTGGCAAGGGGCTCCCACCAGCCAAGGCCACCTGCTCATTTACAGCCATTGTTCTCTTCTTTCCCGGGGGAAGTGCAGCAGGATCTCATTAATTGTCTGAGGGAAAGGCCCGAGTCAGCAGAAAAGCAAAATTATCTTGAGCAGCTGCTGGCTGACCCCGAGCCAGGATTATCCGGTGACCTTCCAAGGACAATCTAAACTTAGGCTCCAGAGTCCTTGGAGTTGAGTTTTGGGAAGCTCCAAGTTAAGGGATTTCATTTCAGGGGAAGTGAAAACCAACATTTCTTCTATCTTTCAGCTCTGAAATAGGTAAGGATGTTTTCCTCCAATGCAGATGTTTCTTGGAACAAGACAGTGCTTCAAGAAGCAGCTCTGGTTCCAGGTATCACTCTGCCCTGCTCTGGGGGCCTGAGGCGCTTGCATGGGAGGGGCACCACCTGCACTCATGCACAGAACACCCTTTGGCAAACAGCCAGTGAATTCACCGTTCAGACTAGTGAGTTGGCCTCTCCTTGCCTTAGTTTCACCATTGGTTACAAAGTCCTCCGTGGTGAAGGCTGCAAGATTGGAGAGGAGGCTATCACTGATCCTGGGTCCTCTGCTATCTTTCCTGAGTGCCCTCCAGGTTTCTGAGACATCTTCCTGGCTCCCTTGACCTTCACAAATCATCTGACTTCAGTCCCCTCCCCGAGAATGGGCACCACTGGCTGTTTGTCAGATTGGAGGGCACGGTGGCTTTACCTTCCCTGGTTGGGGCAGAGAGCTCTGGTTGACAGAGCCCCTGGATGCTGTAGACCCCTGTGCCTTCATAACTGCACCCCTCCCCCCTCCCCAGAGCCTGGAGGAGGTCAGCCAAGGCTCTCTGAAATAACAGCAGTGCCCTCACTGCTCCCCACCCTCTCACCCCTTGTGCCTGCACTGCCTCTCCCAACCTTTTCCTTCTCAGTTTCCTTCCTTCTCTGTATTTTGCAACAATTTTATACTCTTTGCACTTAATCATGGAGTGATTCTGGATCGTCCTTTTTCATTTTGCATCATATTGTAAACATGTTCCTACTTTGTTACAAACATCCTCTTGATTATTGTTTCTAACTGCCTGCAAGATGGCCTTGGGAGTTGGACAGCGCCAGGATGCAACTGTCTATCTCCATCACTCCTGGGGCGGGGCGGGGCATGGCCAAGGAAATCTGTTCTGAGGTTCTATACAATGGGGATGCAAAGGATTGTCAAGGGGCTTAGTGGGCATCACTTTGTGGCTCAAGGTAGACAATGGATTGATTTTGATGATGATTATTTCGGTTATGCAACCGTCCCTCAAGACAGTTTTATAAATGACAATTTTTTATTATAAATAATGCTGCTATGAATGTCATTATTCATAAGCCTTGGTATTTTGGATGATTTCCCCAGGAACAATTCCTTGATGTAAAATTTCTGGCTCACACCCAGGACCTAGACCAGTGATGGAGAACCTTTTGAGCTCGGCGTGTCAGCATTTTGAAAACCCTAACTTAACTCTGGTGCCGTGTCACATATAGAAATTTTTTGATATTTGCAACCATAGTAAAACAAAGATTTATATTTTTGATATTTATTTTATATATTTAAATGCCATTTAACAAAGAAAAATCAACCAAAAAAATGAGTTCGTGTGTCACCTCTGACACGCGTGTCATAGGTTTGCCATCACTGACATAGACCACTTATCTGAGTATGTATTTTCACTGCCTGTCACCAGTGATGGGTATTCACAGTTTAAAAATGTTTCTAATTGCATAGGTAGAAAGTGGTATCTTACTTTAATTTGCATTTCTTTGTAAAGTAATGAGTTTATATTAAACTAGAGGCCCGGTGCACAAAAATTTGTGCACTGGGGGGGTAGGGGGGGCCCCTCAGCCCATCCTGTGCCCTCTCGCAGTCTGGGACCCCTCAGGAGATAATGACCTGCTGGCTTAGGCCTGCTCCCGGGTGGCAGAGGGCAGGCCCAATCCCTAGGTGCAGCCCCTGGTCGGGCTCAGAGCAGGGCCGATTGGGGAGTTGGGGCGCCGCCCCCTGTCATGCACAGAGCAGGGCGATCGGGAGGTTGCGATGCCACCCCTAGTCA